AAACCCTAAACCCTAGACCGTTCGCCATGTCTAGTTTCGGGTTGCGGCTTCAGGGGTAAAGCTTCCGTGCTCAGGGTTTAAGCCTTAATCATGAATTGGGAGTTTCCGACAATAGGGAAGATTAATATGGAGTACCCTAAATAGTAGGATCCCTCTTGTCAGGGCCCCAACATAAGGTACCCCTAATTGTCGGAAACTCCAAATTGGTAGTAAGGCCCTAAACTCGAAAGTCCGACCGTTTTGCTGCGACATCGCCAGTCTCTGCTCGTCGCACGCCGCACTTTCCCTAGGATGTCATAGATACCAAGGCCGAAGGACCGAAACCAGGCCCCTTAACCTGTTGAACACGATTCTTCTCCAGGGTTCCGCTAAGAGTCAGTAAGGGCTTTGGAGCTTAGTCTTAAACATCTTGGGGCCTGGGCTGTTGCAATTGGGTGGCGTCGCCTGGTCTCTTGTATTTAGGTGGCGAAGCTATGAGTCAGGCCCTTATAATGTTTACTTGTATCCTCGGAAGAACACCGAAGGGTACATTCGCCAGAGGAGTAATTGTTAAGACTCCTGCATTGGGCCATCTCAACCATTCTTTCGCTCCGAAGCTACCGTTCAAAAAATGTTGCGACCAGAAGCCCTGGGTACCGTCGCTATCTTCTCCAACTGCTTTCTGGGAGTTTCCAAAAACTAGGGGGTACCTGGGGTACCTTATTTTGGGGGTCCTTATTATAGTAAGGATCCTACTATTTAGGGTGTTATAATTGGGGTCCCCTAGTTTCAGAAACTCCCACATGGCCACGGGGACCCTCGGGAATCCGTCCAGGCCAGGAATGAGCGCCGGGATGCATAGGTCGAGGTTGATGTTGTTGTTGCTCCTGAAGCATTTGCAGGGCAGGAGTGCGGGGTTGATCAGAGTTTGAGGTGCAACAACAAGAGCAACTGACAAAACAACACCCCAGGAAGTTCGAAGCCCGCCTTCACGCAAAAAAGACAAAATAACAACACCACTCCCTAGACTCTCCATGTACCCTCTATCAGACCCTAAGTACCCACCATTTGGGACCATATACCCCTATTTGAGGGTACACGGGGGTCCTGGTCAGGAAATGATGTTCTCCGGATTCTACGAATGGAGCCGGTCCGTCAGGCAGAGGCCACCGTTAGCCACTGCAGTCAGTCAGACGACCTGGTTCAGGGATGTTAGAGTTTAGGGTTTAGGGGGTTCCGCGTTTTTCAGAGTTTAGGGTTTAGGGTTTTGGGGGTTCAGGGTTTTTAAGAGTTTACGATTCCCCGGTATTCTTGCTCAAGCTTTCAGGCGTAAGAATGCTGTCCTTCTTTGAGGCCAATCAGGCTGCGCGGTAGTCCCAAATTTCGCTTCCCGACGACCCCGTCACGTCTTGCACGGAAGTCAGCGCATGTTATAAACAACTCCTACTCGTGCTGCCACTGCTAACATGTGTACTGCGTAGTGTTGAGGCTGTTATGCGAGTACTTCTTGAAATGCTCTTCAAACCCTCATGGCAAAATTGGGCGATGCCAACATGTGACCCCAATGCCACCAGCCGAAACTACCCAAAAAACCCTGAACCCCAACACTTTGGGATTTGGGGTTCGGGCTTGCGGCCTCAGTAGCTGTCCAGCCCTGAAACCACTGAGGTCTGACTTACTAAGTCGTGAACTTAGAGAACCCTTGTGAAATCATTTGGTGATGCTGAGGAGTTCGCATCGTCCGTGGCCCAGCCGAAGTCCTTGATTCCTCCTTGCAAGGCACCGAAAGAGGGACCCCTATGTCAGATTCCTCTCCTAGCACGGGCGATGCCGATTTTGGCTTAAGGCGGAAGAAAGAATAGGGTGAGAAGTGATTAGGGTCTGGGTTTTCAGGGTCTGAGAGCTTCAACATGCTTCAACGGTGTTTCAACCCCTAGCTCGAAGGTCACGGTTTGCTGCCCGGGTGTGGCGCAGAAGCCTTATCAGTTGGAACAACGAGTTTGGTGAAGATATGCTATGATCCCCCAACCCCCAACTCCACTGCAAAAGCCAAGGTGCAGCATACTCTCCGGGCACCCTGAGCCCCAAAATCCCGAAGTACGAGGATGCAGCAAGGAAACACACGTAGCTAGGAGGAACACTCGAGCCCTCCCTCTTGAGGAAATCGTGAAAAACGCATCCAGGAAATATTTTATTGTTCCAGGTTTTAGGGTTTAGGGGTTTAGGGTTTAGAGTTTAGGGTTTAGGGTTTGTAGGGACTAACGGGGTGGACTGGGTCACTTGATGCCCTCAGCCTGTTCGTTAGAGTTCCTTTTGAGCCCTTGTGGTAGGAGCTGGATTCCTGATGAAAGACTACCGTTGCCTTGATGAGGAATGTCATAACAATAATTAACAATACCAAACGGAAAGGGGGTCGAGTAACAGGGCTTATATGGGGACCTTACTTGCACTGCTTGGAGTGTTCCGATTACCACCCCTCTCTAGAAGTATGCGTAGTCCGCAAGTCCGTAACGAAACCGCTTCCGAACGAAAAGGAACCGAACGCCCAAACAAGGCCGCTGCCACGAACCGAACGAGCTCGGATAATGGAGTGTACCATCAGAGCCCTAACAAGCTCGAAGGCTACCGGGTACTGAAAGACCAGACCACGTAATCACGAGAGTAAGGTCTCTGCGCGGAAGCTATGCAGCACCGAAGGTTGTCATCACGATCCTTTTACACGAGACAGTGTGCCATGCAAAGCCGCGCTCACGGCTGCTGTTACAAGCATTGCTGCATTGAAGAAAGTACCATTCTACCCTTCTGCGGCCTGTCACTCGAGAGGACATCTGCAGGCCGCATACCCCAGCCAGCCTCCCAAACTTAGTTGCTGAGTTCATAAGCACCAGAAAGTGTACACTTTCAGTTTTATACTGGGTAGCATTATGCCAAAAAATGTAAAGTGTATCCACTCAGCTACGAAGCAAAGGAGTCTTCGTCGGACCCAGTAAGCCCTGCAACTTATCCCCGAAGCTTCCGCAGCGAGTCCTCGGTCGCCTTCTACCCGTTGTCCAGCTCTGAAGACTTCCATTAGCCACCTGCAGCAACCCTTAGGGTCCCGCAGCATAGTGTCCTTATTGCACTATATTGCATTATGTGATATGGTGTAATCTGAATATACATGTATACATATATGTATATGTATATGTATATGTATCTATATATATATATATATATGTATGTGACATGTTTCTGTATACATCACGAGTTATCTTGTATATTTTAAATTTTACATCATACATGATGTACATCGTATGTTCTAGTATATTGTTTGATACCATTTTGTGCTATGTTATACCATACGGTATGAAGTATGTTGCAGCTTATGATGTTGTATAAGCTTACATTGTGCATTTCATTGCGTGGACTTACTTGCTATTGCACATGCTGATACTTTGGGGGAAGCTTTATGGTTTCTGGATTTAGTATCAGGGTCTACCTGTAGCTGGATAGTTTGTTGTCACCGGGGACGGAACCCTAATTATGTACCACAGGGGACTTCATAATTAGAAATGGGTTTTGGCATTGGGGTATACTATACTATAATTCAATAAGGAACCCCCAAGATTGGTATAAGTAATTATTCAGGCCCCTGTATTCGGTCTTTCGAGTTTCAGGTGCTTCGAGGGGCAGGGGACTTGGTATGTAGGTTATCTGCAGAGTTGTTCGTACCCTAAATGGATTTCCCCCAATAATCACCCTACATTATAACCTACTTGCTAAATCCCCTGCCCCTCCAAGTAGGCTTCCGGGACTTCATGTCACCAGTCGGGGGGGGGGGGGGGGTTCAGGGCCCTGCATCTCGTCCAGAGATGAATAAGATAGGGCATGCCTTAACCCCAAATAACCTACCTCACTTTAAGGACTTATATAAGGAAATCATACTACAGAACCCCGAAAGGGTAGGTTCTTTCGGGTCCAGGTATTCCTTACTTGAGGGTGCTTTGGAATTTCTGTTTTGCAAGCAGCCTGCTTCTCTATGGTGCCTTTGCTCTGTACCCTTGTAGGCATCGAAAAACGAGAACCACCGTCCCAAAGAAGCTGCATCCTACTCTTCCGTGCGTGAAGACATCTCCTCGTTTAAGCTATCCATGCTTTGGATCCTTGGTAGGGTCTGGGCGGCAGCCTTTGGGTGCAGGGGTAAGCTGGGAGTGGGCTTGCTGTTTGGTGCTTATGCTCCGGCGTCCGCAGTGCAGCAGGCTTGTAATTACGATTTCACGGTGCAGTTTCGGCTGACTTCAGGGTTTGCAGGTTTGGCTTCCAGAGGTGTGTGTGGGGTTCTGGAAGATGCGTCTGCTTACCTTTGGTTAGTGGGATATGGAAGAATGGTGGTAATAGTAGTTATATACTTCTATCCCATTCCTCCATTCCCTATATACTAACCAAAGGTAAGTCTGAAGCCGCGGGAGACCGGAACCTGTCCCTGGTTCCGCAATTGGATTTTAGTTTTGGTCAAGAGTGGTGCTATGGGCGTGTACGGGGTTTGCTCTATTTATCCACGTGAATGCTTCGGGGTGAGGGGTAAACGACCTATAACTCGCCGGAGCCATGTGCATGTTCCGAACGTTTGAAGCTGACATGGCAACTTGGAAGAGAACCCACCCTCAATGTAGGAAACTGTATGGTGGCGGAATCACCTTCAGACCTGTTCTCTGTGAAAGCACAACACACAGCACAGAGACATGAAGCACACAATTCGGAAACAATGCTAACACCGAAACCACAAACTTTGAAGATCTCGTGAACATTGCAAGCCACTTTAGATCCATCCAACGAAGCGCCCCGTGCAAGAAGCGCACGGGGCTTCCAATAAGAACAATCCTGCTGAGGAGTTTTGCCGTGTTTTACCAGGATTGCATCTACTTGTCAATGTAGGGTCCGAACATAAACCTGGGCATAGACTGCTGGCTCCACGAAAAGCGCGGTTTGGTTTGGTAAGTTAAAGTAGACCCTAAACCACAGTCCCCTGTGCAGGGCCTTCTTTACCCCGCAGTTGCGCTAGCTCGGCCTGCTGTTCGGAAACAAAGCAGGGAGGAAGAGGTTTAGGGGGTTTCGGGTTTAGGGATTTACTGGTTTAGGGTTCTGGGGTTTAGGGCTTAAGGTTTAGGATCAGGGTTTGCGGGTGGTGTTTAAGATTCGAGCTTCATTCTTGATGATCCTCGTAGTTTATGGTTACTCAAGGTAAGCAAGTTAGCAGCTGGGTGGAGAACGAAACAATGGAGGCTTAGGAGTGAGGCTTCAAGTTCTGCAGCTCGGCGTTCTATCTCTACGAATGGTAGTACAACATGAAGATGCTCGGACCCCAGTCAACATACGAGTCATAGGGGTTCACGCTATCCCGCAATGTCCAAAAGCAACAGAGATAACACAACTAACACCAACCGTAAAAACTCCAAAGAGCCTTCAAGCAATTTCTCAACCCCAAGATCAGGAAATGCGCGAATGATCTCAGACAATCACTACGAGTGCCTTCGGGCCTGCGCAGAGCTTTGGGGTGCGGGGGTTTGGGGGGTCGAAGTTCATGAACTGGGTAATGTCGAACGTGTCTTGGGATGTCTTGGGCAAGCTATAGCATGACCTTGCTTGCTGCGACCGGCTTATTTGCAAGGCTTTCGAAGAGACACACAATGGCTAACTTCTGTTAATTACAGGTTGCTCATCATCAATGTGTGCATAATGGTGCTGACCTCGCGCTGTGTAGAGCAAGAACATCAGCTTGCACTGTTAGCCCACAATCGAGAGACTCTCATGGAAAACCTGACTGTTTCTGCTGTCACGGAGTATGTTGAGCATCTTACCACTTCGGTAGTCAAGCAAAAGGCTATAGAATTCTGGTGGTTGTTAGCAACTCCGGGGTCTACATCAATATCCAGAAACTCCAAAGCTCCTTCGCTAAGCAGCTTAAACGACGCTCGGTTTAGGGTTCAGGGACTTCGGGTGCACCCATGTGTCTCGGGGCCTCCACTCCTGCCACCTTGGCGAAAAGCGGTGGTGCCTGCCTTTGCTGCCAGGCGGATATAGGTGCGGCTCGACAAGGACCCCAACAAGGACGTAGACCCATACGTGAGCTTTTCCAGGCCATATGGTTGTCTGTAGTTACTAAGTGGCCCCTTAACAGACATATTCATTGAATACACTTAGTGATTGCAATAACAGGATAGTTGATGACATTCCTAAGGAGCACACATACTAAAATTGAAGGTTGTCACTGCCTCTTCGTGCCGAAGACCCAGTACTCTGGGGGCCTTAATAATCGGAATAAGGTTTTGGGGCCAATTATACTATTTAGGGCCCTATATTAAACGAGTCAACGGCAAGATCCCAATGCTTCAAGCCGTGTTTCTGCCAGTGCTCTGCACGGATCGCACTTTGAAGTGCCTCAGCAGCTATGAACGCAAAGGGTCCAAGTACCGTCATAGTAGGTACTTAGTGATTTAGTGTACTATTACTTGGAACCTTTTGGGAAGCGACAAAATATAACCGGATTTGGGGTGTTGGGGACCAACATCGTTCAAGCATTCGGAGCAAAACCAACCTTTAATTACTTTTACTTCCAACAGACCTATTCCGTAAAAAGGGGCCTGTAGGGGTCGTTCAAGTCTGCCGCTCTACCTACGACACTGAGTACAGGTGGCAGGAAAACCGTGTCCCTTAAGGCACGTGGAATAAAAACCACGGAGGAGAGGAAGGCCGCGGCAACATAGACTGCAGCTATGACCCTATTCCTCGATTGTCGTGCGGCTTCTACTTCTGCTGTCAGGAATCTTCCATAGATCCACGATATGGGAGTTTCCGACAATAGGGGACCCTAAGATAGCACCCTGATAGTAGGACTCCCAGAAGAAGGATCTTAAAAAAGGACCCCGAAATAAGGCAACCCTAGTTTCGGAAATTCCCAAATGGGGCTCTCATGGTCCGAAAAGGGCTTCAAGCAGATCGTACAAGCACACGAGGCCCCTGCTGAACAACTCGAGTCTAAACGCACAGAAGAACACACAGAAACAAAAGGGAAACCCAACAAACAAATAAAATCTGAATTGTAAAGAAGCGAGCCAGCACGTAATTAGCCAACTGCTTAACTAACTAAGTCAACACTACAACACTAAACATGTTGCACATGTGCTGGTGGAACAGGAAAACCGACGAACAGGTGAGTAAAACGATGCGAGCCATAGACACATAAGCATGTGTCAAGTAACATTGTATATATATGGTACCCCCCCCCCAAAGACCAAGGTTTCTATATGAGCCTTAGATACAAGCCTACTTACAGTAGCCGATAGTCGTTGGTCTTTGGGTGGGCAGGGTGCCAATAACAACCCTGTTGAGGTGTAGGGACAAACATGCGTGACGCGACCCTCTTGTGGTTTTCATACAAGCCTGCATACAATAATCCTTATACCATTTCCTGTCGCACATTCCAGGAGGCCTATTGAATTCAATAGGCCCTATTGAATTCAATAGGCCTTCTGGATTGAAGATTGAAGATTGAAGATGCCCTCAAAAAGTTTCCGGGGAGATCTTCAATCTTCAATCTTCAATCCGGGAGGCCTATTGAGTTCACTAGGCCCTATTGAATTCAATAGGCCTTCTGGATTGAAGATTGAAGATTGAAGATGCCCTCAAAAAGTTTCCGGGGAGATCTTCAATCTTCAATCCGGGAGGCCTATTGAGTTCAATATACCCTATTCAACTCAATAGGGTTTATCTTGAAATCGATCATGAGGGCCGTACGTGGAAGTGTGAAAATTGGGTTCAGGGGTCAAAGTCTACCGCTGCGTTTGCGTACTTTGGAGTACACGCATATGGGTTTTAAGGGCTATGAAGAGAAAGTCATCAACTAGACGTATGATACTACCTTTAAGCTTCCCTAAACGTATTCTTTTGATTTACGCCCAGCGTAATATCAGATAACACTACTAGTTTTAAGCAACAAATGCAGTTGGAATACTAAGAATATAATCGAGGGCTCAATCTATCGAACTGTATACTACTGAGGTATCAGAAGCACATACTTTAACGTCCATGTAGCTAGCAGTCTATGCATGAATGTATATGTTCGATTCAATTATTGGAAAGACTACTCAATGCACCGTATTATTATAATACTTAGAACTGATTTGACATAAGTAAACAAACACTCCGCCTAAATAGGTCCGAGGATCTGGCTTATCCAGCTGTTTGCGTACTTGTGAAAATAATATTCTACAGCTATATACTAAGCTACATCTTCATATAAGTATAACGTTGTCCCTACAGGCACTACTGTGAATATATTGCTTTCTGAGGTCTAATCGGCAGACAACAAACCCTCTATGCTGTTTATAGATGTAAATCTGACGATTGTTAGCTCAGCAAGCCCTATGCTTGAATTGATCCGAGGATTCAATTCAATATACCCAATATTCTAATTACCAACATACAAAATAGTCATGTTTCTGCAGTCAGTAATCCGCATAAGTATGTCATTATCCCTGGGTGTAGTGATATCATATGAAGCATTGTAGATATAGTTTTCTGTCTGTTCGTGTTAACTGGCAAGGCACTTCATGAATAGCTTAGTTGTAGAGAGATTTCTTCAGGCTGTTTGGCTCCTATTCAAATGTATAGCTTCCAAGGTTCTACTATACTGCCACTATTAAGCAGCTATCTGGGTAAATCGCAACAAGGAATCTCAAGCCATATTATTTGCAATTAGCAGTTAACAGACCCTGTAAATTCGATTGTATAACCAATTGCTGAGTACTTAACCTTATATTTCCAAGAATGAAATGGTGCATGCTAAATAGTAACACCGAGGTCTTATACTTAATAGGCATGTTTAAACTGTAAGACTATATGCTTGATGCCTCAAACATATAGTCTAAGAATACATGTCTTTGCAGGGCCACATCCGTAGTAATTAACAAACCCTGGAAGTTCAATTCTATATTCAGCTGGCAAATAGTTAACCTTTTCTTTTGGCATACAATAAACGGTACACACTAAACGATGGCATCGAGGTACTATGCTTGGTAGGTGTTTTTAAACGTTACAAGTAGCTTGATTTCATAAAACCAATAGTATAAGAATAAATGTGTTTGTTGGGTTGACCACATACTACAACTGAAGCTAATAAAGCACACGGCATGGGGCGAGTTTTTCATACGAAGTAAGCCGTCAACATAATATGGCACTTGAATGGAAAACGTTTTGGTCGTGATCGCGCTTAGAATGGCTCTGGGCGAGAAACCAATAACAATACCAACAAAAAACAAAAAACAATACCACCAACAACAAAAAACACTACCAAAAACACATTACTTCAGTACTCTTCCAGAATAGCATTAGAATTCTATATTAATGGGAGCACCCACCAATGTTCTTATCTGAAAACCTTGGTCTTTGGGGGGGGGGGTAGCATATATATATATATATATACACATATACATATATATATATATGTATGTTATACACACACATATGTATACATACACATATGTATACGTGTCCGCAGGTACGTGCGCACGCACATATACACATATCATACGAAGTCTTACACTTCTGTACATATATATATATACACGTACACAAACGCGTATATGTATATAT